ATTAATTTCAAAATCCACCCATCTAATTACAACATAAATAGCATAATATACAGGATAAGTGTATATTATACATGAGTATGTAATATATATTGTGTATGGCTTTTATATATTATAGTATTATAATACATATACATACAGTACAACTATGCTATACTTAGACATATGTATATATGTCTATTATGCATTATTATAGCATTTGTATATATACAGATGTATATTATATATTTAGTACAACTACACTGTTATGCTACAGATACATAATATACACTACACTATGCATAATATATACATATATACATATTATTGTTGTTCAGTCTCTGTTATGTCCAACTCTTTGTGACCCCATGGACAATAGCACAGGGTTCCTCTGTGCATGGGATTTCACAGGCAAGAATCCTGGAGTGGGTTCTTCTCCAGGGAATCTTCCTGGACCAGGGGTCAAATGCATTAGCAGAATTCTTTACCACTGAGCCACCAGGGAAGCCCATAATATAGTATATAACATACAATATACTATGCATAATATACACATATATGTACATGTCTATCATGTATTATATATACATATATTATGTTATATGTAGTATAACTACACTATGTCTTTTATAGACTTATACTAAAATATTTTTTTAAAGTGTTACTTTCCCAGTCATGTCCAACTCTTTGTGACCCCATGGTATAGCCTGCCAGGCTCCTTTGCCCATGGCATTTCCCAGGCAAGAATACTGGAGTGGGCAGCCATTTCCTTCTCCAAGGGCTCTTCCTGACTCAGGGATCAAACCTGGGTCTCCCACATGCAGGCAGATTCTTAACCATCTGAGCCACCATTATGTGTGTATACATATATATATGTATGTGTGTATATATACATGTATGTGTGTATGTGTGTGTGTATGTATATAGGTATGTGTGTATATATGTGTGTGTATATATATGTGTGTGTGTATGTGTATGTGTGTATATATGTATGTGTGTGTATATATATACTGTGTGTGCATATATATGTGTATATATAGATATGTATGTGTGTGTATATATATGTATGTGTGTGTATATATGTGTGTATATATATGTATGTGTGTCTATATATTTATGTATGTGTGTATATATGTGTATATATATATGTGTATGTGTGTGTATATATTTATGTATGTGTGTATATATGTGTATATATATATGTGTGTGTGTGTATGTGTGTGTATATATATGTGTGTGTGTGTAGATATATGCGTGTGTATATATGTATGTATGTATATGTGTGTGTGTATATATGTATGTATGTGTATATATATATGTATGTGTGTATATATATGTGTATGTCTGTATATATATGTATATATGTGTGTGTGTGTGTGTATGTATGTGTGTATATGTGTGTGTGTGTATATGTATGTCTGTATATATATATATGTATGTGTGTATATATATGTGTGTAGATATATATGTGTGTATATATATGTGTGTGTATATATGTGTATGTGTGTGTTTGTGTGTATATATGTGTGTGTGTATATATGTATGTGTATATATGTGTGTGTGTATATATATGTGTCTATATATGTATGCATATATGTGTGTATATATATATGTATGTGTATATATATGTGTATGTGTATATATATATGTATGTGTGTGTATATGTGTGTGTATATATGTGTGTGTGTATATATATATGTATGTGTGTATGTATATGTGTGTGTATATATATATGTATGTGTGTATATATATGTGTGTGTGTATATATGTATGTGTGTATATGTGTGTGTATATATATGTGTGTGTATATATGTGTGTGTATATTTATGTGTGTATATATGTGTGTGTGTGTGTGTATATATGTGTGTATATATATATGTATATATACTCATGAGTGCAGGTACAGAGTAAAAGTCTATGAGCGTATGAGATGCTTCCCAAGCTGAAAGCTCTGAGTCTGTAGACATGTATTAATACACACACACGAGTGTGTGGTTGGCTGATGGAAGCATGTGTCTTCACCTCTTTGCTTCCTGTAAGAACAGCTATCATGTTCCTTTCCTTTCACTGCTGCTTATAGCACCTCGGGACTCCAATGAAACACATTGGTAAACACAACACAGATGCATTCTTTGATGGAAATGAAGATGTTTTTTGCACTCTGACAATGAAATACAAAGCTCCATGGGAAACAACTGAAAATTATCAGGGCTGGAAATGCACTTTCAGAGTGACTAACTCCTTGCTTCTATCATGCTGGCTGATGTGTTATGTAACAGGCATGACTTAAAAATAGCTGTTTAAAAATGGCGAATTTATTGATGCCTAAATTGACATTCCTGGAGCTACAAAAATCAAGGTATATACAGATATAGTATCACAATAATGATGTTAAGGTTGCAGTAGAGAGGCTATATTAAAAATCTACAGAAAAAAAAAGATAATTCCAACACTGTAGCTGTTATGGGTTAAATTGTGTGCTGGGTGTCAGATGCTGTGAACATGACCTTACTTGGAACAGGGCCTTTGCAGATGTAATCAAGTTAAGATGAGGTCATACAGAGTCAGGGAGGGCCCGACTTCAGTGCCGCGTCCTTATAAGAAAAAGGAAATCTGGACAGAGACACACAGAGGGAAAAAGATTATGAGCAGGTGGAAGCGTAAACTGGAATTAAATGCAACAAGCCAAGGAGCAGCTGGGACTGCCAGAACCACTAGCGTCTAGAAAGAAGCAAGGAAGCATCCTCCACTAGAAACCTGAGAGACAGCACGGCTCTGCTGACAGCTTGATTCTGGCCTTCTAGCCTACAGAACTCACTTTGAGACAAAACAGAAAAGAAAAGAAGCCTCAGTGATTTAATCTACCCAACAGATAGATGTGCCTTTCTAAAGGACTAATGAAAGAATTTTCTGTACATCAAAAGTAGGGACCCAGTTGAGGAGGGAGCGAGTGGGACGACTAGAGAGGGCGACATCCACACATACACACTATCACGTGTAAAATGGATAGTTGGTGGGAAGCTGCAGAGGAGCCCAGTCTGGCATTCTATGGTGACCTGGAAGGGAGGGGGGGATTGGGAAAAGAGAGAGAGCCTCGAGAGGGAGGGGACACGTGTATAATTGCAGCTGATGCACATTGTTATATGGCAAAAACCAAAAAAAAAAAAAAAGGAATTGAAAATATTAAAAAGCAAAGAGTTGTTTTTTAAAAGTATGATATTTTTAAGTGCCTAATTTTCTTAACAAATGAGTCAACATTCTTCCTCGTTCTAGCAAACATATAAATTCCTTAAAAAAAAAAATTCCTATAAACATACTCAACTTCCACTACTGGTTATCTGAAAACCAGATCCAGTTTACCTTCAGAGAGGCTTGGACCAGGAGGGGAGCCAAATGGAACCAATAAAGACTACACCATCAGAGCCGCCAGAAGTCAGCCACAGGGTATCAGACACCCTAGAGAAGAGCTTGGCATGTTCGTGGATAAAACCAACCTGGGCAGGGGGCACTCACCAGTTATTTATAAATTGAACTCCCATAGACTAGCCCTTTAGGAGCCTAATTTTTCAATCACACAAAATAGGGCTAAACATATAGTACTTTTCTTATCTGCTTCCAGATTTCAAGACTGAAGTGGGATAATACAGGTAAAGTGGTGTCTTTAAATTACAAGCCCCAAAGGCTAACTATTTCTATAGAATCAACTTCATCAACACCAACAGGAAAAACTCACATCATCTTTAATCTCCCCACCCCTTTGGTGTTTTTAGTCACTAAGTCATATCTGACTCTTGTGGGACCCTGTGGACTGTAACCCACCAGGCGCCTCTGTCCATGGGATTCTCCAGGGAAGAATACTGGAGTAGGTTGCCATCTCCTTCAGCAGGGGATCTTCCTGACTCAGGGATTAAACTTGTGTCTCCTGCATCGGCAGGTGGATTCTTTATCACTGAGCCACCAGGGAAGCCCTCCTACCCCTTTGGCGTGAAGTCGCTCAGTCATGTCCGACTCTTTGCGACCCTGTGGACTGTAGCCTGCCAGGCTCCTCCATCCATGGGATTTTCCAAACAAGGGTACTGGAGTGGGTTGCCATTTCCTTCTCCAGGGGATCTTCCTGACCCAGGGATCAAATCTAGGTTTCCCACATTGTAGACAGATGCTTTACCATATGAGCTACTAGGGAAGTCCAAGCAATAGATACCTAAGAACAAATGCATACCCCTTTAGTGAGTGTTTTTGATGAAGTTAATTTTATACCATAATTTAATAATAAAATAATAGCAACAGTAATAAAAATATTAAAGATGTAGAGTTTACAAGTACTGTCATGAAATACATAATAACCATCATAACCCACAACCCATGAAAAAGTCCACTATTACTATTATCAGCATTTGGTTGTACAGTTGAGAGCACTGACATCCAATCCATTTCTAAAAAAAAAAATGCTTCAGAAGGCTGAGTAAGAATTAGAACCAAATCTCCTTGTCTTTCATCTATGCCACACAGTCTAAATGTGATGTGATAATTTTTAATTACATTTCACTGGTTCGATGGGGAGGAAAGAAACCATTTCTCAGCAATATTTGGAAGAATCTGAACACAGTATTCTGCCTTCAGTATTCCAAGGACATCCTGATAGTTTGTGAGTCTCAGCCACACAGAGGCCAAGGGCAGATAGACTGGTGCGGCTAAAATTTCCCAGGACCACCCCAACCCAGCTCCCACTCCCTGCATCACTTCACCTTCCTGTATTTAGTTCCGTCCAAGTCCACATACGAATTATCTCCGCTCAGAACTTAGTGCATACTCAGTAAATGCTTGTTGACTAAATCTGGCATTTTGAGGGTAAGGGTAATTGCAAACATTTTTTCCTCTGCTTTTGTTATACTTCAGAAGAAAGAGAAATCACTTAAAGGAAAACTGATGTGTGAGGCTCATTTGTGCCTTTGAGGCTAATTTTTTCATCAGCAAAGCAAGGATAATAGCACATGATGGCAGGAGCTTTGAACGGAGAGTGTAGGATGAGACACACATTAGCACCATTGTTCTCCTTGGTCTTTTGTCTCATTATCTCCGAGCTGTTAGGTGAGTTTTTCCTTAGGAAGAAAAAAAGAGAGAAATCTACCAATTGCCAAGACAGAACGCATTCCTTTAAGCCTTGTTATTGCAGAATGCAATCCTGATTCGCATTATCAGGAGCAAAACAGCACAAACAGAAACGGTTTTCTTTAATCATTCCATTCATCACAATGTTCCCTCAAAGGAAAAAAGTCAATAATAAATGTTCAAATGCTGCAACTGCACAGAAGGAAAATACAAGTGTTCTTTTGCTTTGTATTCCTTTAAGTAGAGCATTCAGTTCCTGAAAATTGACCTTTCTTTTCCAAGTTTTATTTGACAAGCATCCTCAAGATGGACGGAAGTAATCACATAAGACCCTGTTTTCAGTCTCTTTGAGCCTTCATTTTAAAGCAGAGAGAGAGCTGGAAGACATGAAGTTTACATTCATTCAAAGGTGTAAGAAGGCAGATATTTTATTTAGAGACCCATGGGAAAGACAGGGGTGTGATGTTTAACAGAGTAGAGAAAAAGAGAACAAGCAATCCCAGGTCAGTAGTTCTCTGAGTGGCCGGATGGACACGATTCACACCAAAGCGCATGAGAATCCACCCTTAAAGGCAGATGCAGTGTCTTTGAGAGGGGAAGCATTGCTTTTTTAAGCTTTATTGAGGTGTATGTGACAAATGGGAATTGTTTTGTACAACTTGATGTTTTCATACACGTCACATATGTAATGCACTGTGAAATGATCACCATGGTCAAGCTGATGATGAACGTACCTATCGTGTCACATTCTCTTTATCTCTTCCTTTCTTTCTTTCTCTTTCTCTCTTTCTTCCCTCCCTCTCTCCCTTTCTTCCTTGCTCCTTCCTATTCTTTCTTTCTATGGTGAGAAAGAAAACTGAAGACCTACTTCCCTAACAAATTTCAAGTACATAACACAGTATTGCTAACTATAGTCACCCTGCTGGACCTCAGCTCCCAGAATCCATTCATCCTGAATAACTGAATCGTTGTACCCTGTGACCAGCATCTCCCTGACCCCAGCCTCTGGCAGCCACCTCTTTCTCCCTGCTTCTGTGAGTTCAGCATTTTCAGATTCCACATATAACTGAGATCATGCAGTATTCATCTTTCTGGGTCTGACTTATCCCACCTAGAATTATGTTCTTCAGGATCATCCATGTTGCTGCAAAAAGCAGGATTGCTTTCTTTTTTAAGGCTGAATTATTAATATAAATACCTCATGTTTTCTCCATCCATTCATCCATTGAAGCAGCACGACTTCTACTGACCTCTGCCCAGCTGTGACTCCAGCCTACCTACGCTAGACAGACTACATTTCCTAAAGGGAAAACTCTACTCCTGACATAAAGTCTGAGTCCCAATTCTACTTCTACTGATTACTGACCGTGTGGACTTGGCCATCAGGGACTCTCTCATTGGAATGGAGTCAGTACCTTCCTAAGAAGGTTATTAAAATCACTACAGGAGAAATACAGATAAAGTTCTTAGAACAGGACCCTGCAGATACTGAGTTCTCGGCAGGGTGGGGACTGGGTGAGGAAGTGACTACTGTCTAGCTGATCATTGGTTTCCTGACTTCTTCACCTTTGCGCCAGAGGATCTTCCTCGTTATCTACATCCTAGAGCCAACCCTGGTACTCATCAGTGTTAATCATTACAATGATGATGAAGTTTCTCTCACACCTCTCTGCATCCCAGACCCACAGCAGGTGTTCAAGTTATGCTTAGCAGTTTGGGAAGGAAGACAAGGATGGTAACACCCAGTCTCTTTATTCTTAAAAAAAATATGACATTTAGTGTGCCGACAGGTCCCAGATGCCAGGGTGCACAAGAACCAAAGGAGAGGTGAGTAAAATGCAGGTTCTCAGGTCCCTTAGGGGTTTTTTCTCCCTAAGTGAAGCTAAGCTGGGGCTCTGGGACACTCTGACAAGCTTCCGGGTGATTCTCACCCAGGTATGTCAGCAAGAAACGCTGATGTTTAAAAAAAGATTAAAAAATAAAATAAAATAAAGACAGATTTTGTGCTGAGCCCAGAATGCAGTAAGTCCTCAGGAGGTGCCACTGCTGTAATTATTACTCTGTATCAGTTATCAATCGTAACAATGATGGAACATGACGAACCATCCCCCAAACCCAACTGCTCAAAGCAATAAACATTTATTTAATCAGCAGGGTATATATATGACATTTATTTAACTGGTATAAAAACCAGTTTAGGGACTTCCCTGCTGGTCCTGCACTTCCATTGCAGGGTTCAGTCCCTGACTGGAGAACTAAGGTTCTGCATGCCGTGTGGCCAAAAAATAAAAACACAAACAACAACAAAAAAAGAACTTTAAAATAAGTAAATAATTACCAGTTTAGCTGGTTTTCCCAATTCTAAGTGACCTTGAGGGAATAAGATTTTGTGCCATTCATTCATTAGTTCTATAGCTTACAAACTTTAAGACAAAGATGAGTTTTAAAATTCCAAATTATACAAAAATTAAATAATAATCAGATGTAGAATTTCTTTGGTTTGGGGATATATGTATCACCGATCATTCTCAGAATAGCATATATATATATATATATATTCCTCATTTGGCTAGTTAATATAGGTTTGAAATGGCAGATAGCAAAAAGAAGAGACAGTCTATAAAAATTTTTACAAATAGTATAATTTGTATATGATTATATGAAAGATTCACATTTCTTGTTATTCCTTAACTGCATTATGAAGGTCAGAATTTTAGCTAAAACGAAGTAGGGAGGTTTTTTTATAAGAAATATAAATTTCTCCAGAAAAAAAATACAATGTTTACTTTTTCAGCATCTATTTTAACTTTTTGCAAGGAAAGTGTTTTAGATCTAGAGAGGGCTTAGAAAAGAACCTGCCTAGCAGGTTGCAAGTTACTGCAGGCATAAAAAGTATAAGGGAAAAGGTGTGTTCCTATTTTTGGACCCTATGCCATCTGAACTGACTTTCTTCAGCAAAGATTCTTGATGCCTATTTAAATTTTAAATAAAATGGAGTTTCCTTTTGCCATTCTTTTCACTTCTCCCACACCATTAAAACCTCAAGTAATAGTTAAAACTATCTCCTGATTGGAAGGATCTAATTTGTAATATAATCTGTGAGGAAGGCTGTGCAGAGTAAAGACAGTGCAAAACAAAAACGAGCCTTCTTAAAAAGACAATCATCTAAAGATTTAAAAGCATTTAAACAATTCCATGTAACATAGGCCACAAAAATGCCATTAAACTTGATCTGTGACAAATTGGCATGTCTTCAGAAAATGGGGATGCAAGTCTCATTACAAGTACAGATAAGACAGATCCCGGCCAGCACTTCCTATTGGAGCACTAGATGATTTTTATGGTTCATTATTTATTCACAGCAAACAGGGGATGGAGAGAGAGCTGGCCTCATCTTGGACCTCAGACACTTGGAAATGTCAGGGAAGTGTTATGGTTTCATTAACGAAAGATAAAGAATTACAGATTACTTCCACTCCTAATACAGAGAAAGCAAAAGATCAATAGCATAGATGTATAAAAGAAAAAGGAGTTAAAACCCCATAGTTTATTTTCATGATGCTTAAGGCCAAGCCATTTAAATAAAAAAGCACTCCCTCTTTGTCCCTTCCAGTCTGCTTTACATAATCTATTTTTCCACGTACATTCTGAGTGTGAAGTACTGGGTTCCCAACTCTGGGCTTATGTGGGAGAAACAACTCTGGGCTGAGAACAGAGGAACTTCTCAAATGAGAACATCCTTCATCAGGGCACCAACCATTCTAGCTCCTTCTCAGATCATCTTGGAACCTTCATGGAACATTTGATTTCAAACAAGAGGGAATTTTAACCTTCCATTATTTAAATATCTTTTTTAATAGAATATGATATTTAATCAAACTTTTTTAGGTTTCTCATTTTACAAATTTGTAGACAATTAAATTACTTTCCTTATTTTTAAAATGATACTTGGGTAAGCTGATGCTTTATCAGAAATGTGCTCAAGTTATACCACCATTAACTTTGGAGAGCAATGCACTGTGCAGGAACATTAAGTACAACCTTCACCTCTAACCCAAAGCTGACATGCATATAACAGAAAATACTGACATCAGTGGAAGGTACAGACATTTCCCATGCACTCCTGCCCCAACACGAGCATAACCTCCTCCACCATCCACAGAGCCCAGAGTGGACTTCAGTTGCAACTGATGAACCTACATCAACACATCATTTGCCTGAAGTCCATCATTTACATTATAGTTCACTCTTGGCATTGTACAGTCTATAGATTTGGACAAAATATAATGGCATGTATTCACCATTATGGTCTTCCAGGGGGCTCAGTGGTAAAGAATCTGCCTGCCAATGCAGGAGATGCAGGTTCGGTCCCTGGGCTGGAACAATCCCCTGGAGTAGGAAATGGCAACCCACTCCAGTATTCTTACCTGGAGAAGTCCATGGACAGAGGAGATGGTGGGGTACAGTCCAAGGGAGCACAGAGAGTCGGACAAGACTGAGCACACACTAATGCTTGCATTCACCATTATAGTATCATATGGTGTAGTTTTATTGCCTTAAAAATTCCCTATGCTCCACTCATTTATCCTAGCAACCCTGGGCAACCTATTGTCTCCACAGTTGTACCTTTTCCAGGATGTCATATATTTGGAATCTATACAGTCTTCTAGGATTGGTTTCTTTCACTTAGTAATATGCATTTAAAGTCCCTCTGTGTCTTTTCATAGCTTGATGGCTCATTTCTTTTTAGTGATGAATGATATTCCATTGTCTGGATGTACCACAGTTTATGTATCTATTCACCTACTGAAGGAGACCTTGGTTGCTTCCAAGTGTTGGCAATTATGAATAAAGCTGCTGTAAACATCCACATGCAGGCTTAATTTATGCAGACATAAGTTTTCAACTCCTTTGGGTAAATATCAAGAAGTGTAATTGCTGGATCCTATGCTAAGAGTGGAGAAGGAAATGGCAACCCA